AGACTGATATACACTTTTCTCATAATAATAATAATAATAATAATAATAATAATAATAATAATAATAAATAAATCAATAAATTTTTTGCATATCATCTCATATATTAATATAGAGATAAACCATATTTAAATTGTCAATGAATTGTTTTAGTTTCTTTTCTTTATCATTATTTTTGGAATTAATATTGAAATAATATAACAATTATCATTTACATATTGCATTATTAATTACATGCCTCTTGATCTTCCATTATCAATTATGCATTAATATAGAGATAAACTATATTTAAATTGTTAATAAATTATTTCAATTTCTTTTCTTTATCATTATTTTTGAAATTAATATTAAAATAATACAACAATTATCATTTATGTATTATATTATTAATTATGTGCTCTTGATCTTCCATTATTAATTATAATATAATAATTTTCATTGAAGTTACTTTTTTTATTAGTTTAATAAATCATAATTAAATTTTTGTAGTTTCACAATGTTTTACTCTCCATGCTCTCGTACAACTATCCTCCTTTAATTCATCAACATAAAATTTTTTACATAAAAGAAAGGTGAAAAGGATCTAACATCCATAAATTTTTTTAATTTGATTCAATTTAATCCTTAAGGATGTGTTTGCAGTAAGGTAGAAATATGAGCACTTATGTGTTAGTGATTGAAAGGTTGGAGGAGTGGCTTATAAAATGGATAAATTTAACCTAGAAGTCCAAGAATAAGGCTGCCCATTCTGGAGAGCCTTCTCCTCGTGTCAGTTTCCCCATTCAAAAGCAGCGAGGTGGCTGTACAATTTGGTTAATATGGTTGCCAAATCCATTCAAGGGTTTGAGTAATTATTGGCTTTGCATTTGGTTGGTGCTTGGTGAATAATTGAGAGACCAATAATGAAGCATTGGAGATGTATGGGAAATAGAGAGCCACCTTAGAATTAGCTTTATTTATTTCTTTCCTTTTATGTTTAAAGAGTCATGGATATTTGAAATAAAGATATTTTATTTTAGTGCTAGTTAGATTTGAGATCTTGACTTAAAGTTCGTTTTAGACGATGGATAATTGTTGGTAAATTTTTTTTAAAGTAAAGAATAATTTTAAGCAAGGCTATGATTTGATGAACTTTGGAGACAAACTTAGCTTTACATGCTTTTGAGGTCACTCCTAAAGGCATGTGGCGTTGTTATGTCTTGACCCCAAGTTGGGGTGTGATAGAAAAGTTATATAACTATAAAATGGTAAAAATAAATTTGAATCATTTAAATATTTAGTATTGCATAAATAATTACTACGTATTATAATCTCATAATTTGTTCTTATCTTAATAAAAAACTAGTTTCTATTTGTCTTCCATTAATTTAATACATTATATGTAATTAAAAATAATAATGATAAAATAATTAAGAAGAAGATAAGAAATTGAAGAAAATAAAAAAATTGAACTAAATTATTAATCACATTTATTATATTTTTATGTAAAAATAGTATATATTATTTTTTCTTTAACAATTTATTTTTTTATAATTAAAATAAAATAACAACATTAGTTTTTAATCAATACTTGAGATAGCATTTTATATAGTATATTGATTGATTGATTAAATGATTAATTGATTGACTTATAGATAGGTAGATAAATATAAATATAAATAAATATATAGATATAGATTTATTTTCTTAATATTTTGAAAAAACTATATTAGTTACCACGATTTTTATAGAAAATAAAAAAAGGATTATAAATTGAGAATCTAAGCACATATAATATATATATACACACACCTAAAAACAGAATATGGATTGTTTTTAAAAATAAAATAAAAACTTTTTTTGTACTTGTCATTTGCTTTTGAATTGTTCATTAATTGTTATATTTTGTTGCCTTTCTAGGTTCAAAGTTTTGCTCCATATCTTGTCCTTAGGTTTTTATAATAGCATAGCATGATATTTGTACTTTATTAATTTTGATGTCTCTCCCTCCTTTAGAATACTTAAAGTTATATAAAATATACTGAAAAATCAACCTAAAATTTATGATAAGAAAACAAATATTAACTAGACATCTCAATTCTCAAGTACATATCAAAACCAAATAAAGTTATATTTAGAAGTGATATAAATATACTAAATCAAACGTTAGTTTATTGTCTTGATTTAGACGAGTAACATGAGTGAGAGCTTTCATGAATTAAAAAATACCATAAACCAAGACACTTACTTTTAGGGTTTGAGAATTTTAGTTTTATAATCTTTTATAGACTTAGAGAAGGAAGCTTAAGAGTTCCGCCTATTACAAATATTTTTTTTTTAAGATTTAATATTGAAATTTAAATATAATAAAAATAAATAATATTTTAATGAATATTTGTTAAATATGAAAAGTTTTATAAGTACGTCAAAGTTTAATTGTGTTTTTACATAAA